TAAAATAATGATTATTACTTTGAAGAAATTTAAATTTTTTTGAAATAAAAATTTCCAGAGTTTTTTTATTTTAAAAATTTCTATATTAAAAATTCTTAAAAACCTTTGAAGATTTTTGAAGATTTTTCTGGAAATTTTCTGATGTATATTGTCAAATTTAAATATATAAATATCAAATAATATATAACTCAAGTTAATTTCATATATTTGTATTTATATTAATAATCTTTTTCAAAGTTATTTGATTTTAATAAATATATTAATATGTGAAGAAGGATTTTATAGATATATATTTAATTAAATTAGAAACTTATTCTTATATAATTTTTTTTTTAATCTATTTCAGTTTGTAATTATTAAAAAGATTAAAGATTCTATATTTATATAATCTAATTAAATAAAACTGAATCCAAATATTTGAGATCTTTGTATATAGAAAATCAATACACCTATATACAAGCTCCATTTATGTATTTTTCTCCTATGGGTATTGAATTAGAAACATATATTTTGAAGACTTGAAAATATTACTTATTGTACTATTGATTTATTTAAAAATAATTTTATTTAATATAGATATTCAAGTATTATATATAAAAGTTTGTATATAAAAGTATCCAAACTATTATATATTTTGCATTAAGATTAAATAAACTTTATAAATGCTTATTTAATTATGAAAAAAAAATCAAACTCTTTTTAATAAAGAATATATATTAATCTAGTAAGATTATAAAAAATTTTTTTATTTTTACAAATGATCTGCCGATCAATTTATCATAAAATACGTATGCACATTAAAAACTTAACACAGTTCGTTTAAAAAGGTGTAGCTTCTTAACATGTATCAGAGAGATCGCAGTGCAACACTTTTTCTTGGCGGAGAACGCACGTCGGGCAATGAGGTTCGGAACCAAAATGGTAAGTTTCTAAACTTACATAAGCGCGACACGCTCATCGAGGGAACTAAAGATCCCTTATTTACTTCTATAACTACTGAAACTTAGTTCTTGCCGTCATGTCTATCGCAAATGTCGTGAAAAGCTCGCTTGGTCCAGTGGGATTAGACAAAATGCTAGTTGACGATATTGGGGTTGGTTTTATTCTGTAGTATTGTTCCGTGAAATAAGGTCGAGATTGTAAATGTATCTAAAGTCATTAACGTTAGGATGTTACGATATCAAATGACGGGGCCACTATTCTAAATTTACTTGAAGTGGAACATCCGGCTGGACGAGTACTTGTTGAACTTGCTCAGCAACAAGACAAAGAGGTTGGTGATGGAACGACATCTGTTGTTATTATTGCTGCCGAATTGCTTCGTCGAGCAAACGAACTCGTTAAAAATAAAATACACCCGACTACAATCATCACTGGATATCGGCTGGCAAGCAAAGAAGCGTGTAAATATATTGCAGATCATTTGACAAGTAAAGTTGATAATTTGGGGCGCGAATGCCTCATTAATGTTGCTAAGACGAGCATGTCCAGCAAAGTTATTGGATCGTATGTTGAATAGAAACCTTTATCATAAAATTATTATGAACATCCTTTTATGGTTTAATTTACCAATTTGTAATTGATTTGAAGGGACGATGAGTTTTTTGCAAACATTGTTGTAGACGCTATTCTGGCTGTAAAATCCACGAATTCTCGTGGTGAGGTCAAGTATCCAGTAAAAGCCGTGAATGTCCTTAAGGCTCACGGAAAAAGCACTCGAGAGTCACTTCTGATAAAGGGCTATGCGCTTAATTGCACGGTTGCTGCACAAGGTATTTTTTTTTAGCTTTACAGATAAAATTTGATATTTCTTTCGGGAATCTCATCTACTCTATTTATTTTTAGCAATGAAAACGAAAATCACAAATGCCAAGATAGCGTGTCTTGATATGAATCTTCAAAAAGCGAGGATGAATCTAGGTGTACAAATAACCATTGATGATCCAGAAAAATTAGAAGATATACGTAGACGGTACTTTGTATCCTAATTAAATTGATGAATTATTTCTTCGTGTTGTTCGACCTATAATTCAACATATCATTTTTATTTAGTGAGGCCACCATTACAATTGAACGCGTTCAAAAGATCCTTTCTGCGGGAGCGAATGTAGTTCTGACAACCAAGGGAATAGATGATCTTTGTCTGAAATTCTTTGTGGATGCCGGGGCCATGGCCGTTCGTCGTTGCAAAAAGGATGATCTAAGGCGAATTGCTAAAGCAACCGGGGGTAAGATAATTTAATTTTTTTTCCGATGTTCTTGCACTTTGTTTCTGATCGGACCGTTCATTCTGTTAGCTACACTTATTTCCACACTTGCTAACCTTGAGGGAGAAGAAACGTTTGAGGCTTCTTATCTTGGTACTGCGGACGAAGTAGTGCAGGAACGGATATCTGATGATGAATGTATCCTGATTAAAGGTACCAAGGCCCAAAGTTCCGCATCGATTATCTTGCGCGGTGCCAATGATTACATGTTGGATGAAATGGAAAGATCTCTGCACGATTCATTGTCAGTTGTTAAGAGGACTTTGGAAAGTGGTAATGTAGTTCCTGGTGGGGGTGCAGTAGAGGCTGCATTGAATATTTATTTGGAGAATTTTGCTACGACCTTGGTAATTTCTGTTCAGATGCAACGCTCACATGGTACCATTAGCTTTTATTAACATTTAGTTTCTTAGGGATCACGTGAACAATTAGCTATAGCAGAATTTGCCAATGCGTTACTTGTGATTCCCAAGACACTGGCAGTGAACGCAGCAAAGGATTCAACAGATTTGGTCGCGAAATTGCGATCTTATCATAATGCCGCTCAAAACGCACCACCAGATGATCCGAAGAAAAACCTCAAATATTATGGTCTTGAATTAATCAAAGGAGAGACCAGGGATAATTTGCGAGCGGGGGTTTTAGAACCCGCAATGTCCAAAATCAAATCATTAAAGTCTGCAACGGAAGCAGCGATTGCGATCCTTAGGATTGACGACATGATAAAGGTAGGTTTGAAATTTTTATTTCTCCATTTGATTCCATAATTTTTCAATATTAAATTATTAAATTGTACATTCAGGTCGAGCCGGAGCAAAAAGGAGGGGGTGATGATGATGGTCATTGATAGTTGTATATTGTTATGTCTTAGCATTTTTTATTATAGACACATTTGTATTTGGTAATAAAATTGGAATTCAAATTCTCAAAGTATTTGATCAGGTGGTGCTGTTTAAATTAATACTTTAACTCGATGCTATTATTCCCTTGACGATTATTCGAATCGATTGAACGTTATCGGATTGATCATCAAAAGCCTTTGAAGAATTATGGATTTAAATATTCCTCGCTTAATCTTCACGCGTTCTATGTAAAATCGCATAAAGGATGAATCATGATAGTGGCAGTTTTATGCTTAATAGAACCGGAAAAATATTTAAAGAAGTCGATAAAGGAAATATAACCATAGCCAAATGATGATTGGTTGCAACTTTATCTAAGATTGTTTAAAACGTTCGACATATAATTCTATTCTATAAAGTATTACTTTTAACATAGTCATCAAAATTTCATTTTTTGTTCTTCAATTCCTAGATTTCCATAAGGTTGTCTCTTCCATTATAAACGTCAAAGAATTTTTTTAATTCGATTTTTATTTATTTATTTCACTGAATTTCCATCTGCAGAATGATATTCTATATCTTCTATTAAATTTTGAGGCGAAGGTGGTGGTGTATCTATCTGTCGTTTCTTGTGTCCCAATATCGCTGTAATATAAGTGAAAGGATAATAATAGTCCAAATCCTGACCGAAGACAATATAATACTTGGAAAAAAAAAAAAAAAAAATTACCTCGCTTGTAAAGTATAAAGCTCGAACCAACAAAAAGTGGAAGGCTCACAATGACTAACGTTAAATTACTGGGGATGTATGTGTGTTATCAATAAAATTACACTAATTAACAAATGACACTACTTTTTTAAGCACTTACAATCTTAATTTACGAACATGCGGAGTTGCTTTGTCTTTATTTGGCATATTCAAATTAGATGATCAGAAGGATTAAAACCACTTTTGCATCAAGTATAAATATGAAATAACATTGAAGATCACAAATTGAAGATCGAAAATTATAAAGGTGAAAGATAACATGACATTCGGAGGCCTCGTTACATTTTCTAAGATGTTCTAAACTTGATAATACATCTAGATACAGGGGTCATAGAAAAAAATGTATTCACCAAAAATTATGAACCGTTGTCCTAGTAATAATATTATTAGTGAAGAATATTCAAAAATAAATTTTAGTTAACTTTTGATTAATGCTCTAACTGTAAATGTACAGATAGCTTAAAGAGGTTTAATTTAGATCCATCATATAGTTTCACGGTTCCTTTTACTCAAATTTTAAATAATTATCATTAAGTAAATAGTCGGGGGGAAATATTCATGGCCATTAACTCTTGGAATAACAGTTTGCAAGCATACGGAATATGAACTTGTGATATCTGTTAAAGAAAATTTTTTTAGAGAATTATGGTATCAAGATTTTAATGAAAGGAAAAGTTACTAACCTGCGTGGTATTTTTACAGGCCTTACAATCAAAAACGTTCTTTTTAAGGTCTGCGATAGCCATCAGTCCACATAAGTCACAGACATGAATACGATAAGCGTCTGACGCGTCAAATAATCGCTCCTATTAGAATCAGGGAGAGGCTTAGTTAGATCGAATTCAAAAATGTAATAATATTAAACGTTCAATGTATGTGTGAAAAAGTATTTACTTTTAAGAACATTGCCACACCATGAGATATCATACAATCGCGTTCCATTTCACCAAATCGCAATCCACCATCTCGACTACGACCTTCAACAGGCTGTCGCGTGAGAATTTGTACGGGACCTCTGGCACGAGAACTAACGTTTTGCGTAGAACTATTAGATATCTTCATAAAGGTTGCAATTAGAATAATAATGTAAAGCTTACTGAATTTTATCATCAACCATATGCTTTAAACGTTGATAGTACGTAGGTCCTAGGAAAACTTGGGCAGCCAGCTTACGTCCCGTGTGACCATTATACATGACCTCGAAACCTCGAGATTGGTATCCCACACTTTTCAAACTTTGGGAGATGGCCTCAACCGTCACATCCGTAAATGGCGTGGCATCACCTTCGTTTCCAGTTTTTGTTGAAACCTAAAGTTTTCGTATTTTTTTTGTGTAATTATGAATCGTGCTCTAATATATAAATGCAAGGTCTATTTTATGCATCTTACCTTGCCTAATAAACATTCGACTAAATGCCCGATTGTCATACGACTCGGAATTGCGTGTGGATTAATAACAAGATCAGGGGTAATTCCTTCTGCAGTAAATGGCATATCCTCCTGTCGATATGTAATACCAATGGTACCCTTCTGACCGTGTCTACTTGCGAACTTATCTGGATAATTTTAAAGAGGTTTCAACATTTCAGTACCACGTGAAAATTATTGTATATGGTAAAAGGAAACCAATTCACCTCCCATCTGCGGCACTCTCGTACTTCTAACTCTTACTTTCACAAATTTCATTCCTTCCGCATTTGTTGTCACCATCACTTGATCAACGATTCCATTTTCTGTGCTTCTCATAGGAGTGGAAGCATCTCTTTTCCTGTGTGTAGGTAACCTCTGACCAAGCTCGACAGTATCATCAGGAATCGGTATAACTTTTCCAATAATTATGTCATCTCCAGACACTCTTGTACCAGGAGCAATTAAACCATCGTCTTCCAATTTTTCATACGTCCCGTGTTTAAGGCGAAGTACACTTTCTCTCGTGGGTTTCTCAAATTCTTCCATTTTTAACATACCCTAAGGGACGTTAATATATTAAATCAATAAATCTATTGTCCGAAGCATTAGTGTAGGACGCTTCAATTATAATAATAACAATGAAATGTTTGTCTGTGTGTAATCACGAGTACTCATTTTGCACCGTTCAAAAACTTGGAAATCTTGTTTCGAACATCTAGACGGCTTCCTATTTCACAGTTTAAATTCATATCAACTACATACCACTTTCTTTTCCTGATCCATGTAATTCCTGTAGAAAATACTTCTGAATAATCCTCTATCAATACTACTTTGATTCATGATAACAGAGTCTTCCTGATTATATCCACTATAACAAAGAATTGCCACGATAGCATTTTGTCCTGCTGGCAATTCGCGGAATCTTAGGAATTCCATCGATCTTGTGGTTACCAATGGTTTTTGTGGATAATATAAAATATTAGCTAAAGTGTCCATTCTTAGCTGATAATTTGTTACGTAAATGCCCATAGCTTGTTTTCCCATAGCAGATTGATAGGTGTTACGTGGAGACTTTTGAAATAAATAATTTTAAAAATTAGCATTTTAAAGTCATTGTGAAATTCAACCTAAAGTTTGTTGACCTACTTGATTGTGATCTGGAAATGGAATAATGCTCGCACATATGCCAAGTATCATACTTGGATGTATTTCACAGTGCGTGAAGGTGTGTATATATAAAGCTGTTTCACTTTTAACACGTGCAGCAATGTCCTTCCCATCCGATTGTGGTATTATGCCCGTTTCATGATATCGCCTTGATGCTGCTAGATCCTCAGGTGTCATACAAATCATCACTGTCTCTTCCTCCTCGGCGTCAATGTACTCTATAAGGTTATTACCAATTAAATCGTGCCATACAATTTGATCTTGGTTTTTCTTTGACCTTCTCCTACGAGGTGCATCTAATCCGCCATCTTGTTCGTCCATAATATCCTCCATTATATCCTCCTCGTCATCTGTATATTCATCGTCTTGTTCATATTGATTCCCGGATCGTCGGTTTTTCTACAAAATCCATATAAATAAACAATAACCCAATTTTTTGCTAATACAATACATATTCATACGACTACTCACGATTTTATGAACCCCCAGACTTTGTACATGAGCTTTAGTTATCTTTAAACGTTCATTTTCAACAATGAACAAAGGCCTACACACTCTACCAGCATCCGTGTATATCCTTAACTCTTTCTCGCGAATGTCTCTAACAATACTAACTTCAGGGCTTACATCTGAATTTCTCCTTAAATTTTTTAATGTGGACGCCAATTGCTCTGGCGTAGTAGAAATACCTGCCCATTTACCGTTAACAAAAACTTTAGCGTTATCTTTTATGTTTGCTGGATCAAATTGTTGATTTAAGTTGATCATTCCATATTCCTCCAAAAAATCTATAATCGGTTTTGATGGACTTCCAACGGATATATAAGACATCAATGAAAGATTCTTAACAAGACCACAAGCTTGACCTTCCGGAGTCTCGGCGGGACACACCATGCCCCAATGTGTATTATGCAACTGTCGAGGCTTGGCAATCTTTCCATCTCTTCCAATAGGCGTGTTACATCTCCTGAGATGGGATAGGGTCGAAGCAAACGTATACCGGTTAAGCACTTGGGATACCCCTGCGCGGGCCTAAGGTTTTTGAGCGAAAATCAACAGTAAGTCCTATTCCGCTAAAAATATCCCAGGAGGTTCGTAATGCCGATCAACATTTACCTGCATGGCCTTTTTTTGATCGCCCCAATTACCAGTTGCAAGCGAGTATTTTAGACCATTAGTAATAGTTTGTGCCTTAATCGCTAAATTTAAATTAAATTCTCGATTCGTGTCTATACACTATCACAATATAAAATTATGATTAAATGATCTTATGGATTCAATCAATTTAATTCGTCCGTATATAGACAATCACGAACCTTCTTCAAGTGCATCGAAACATCCTTGGTAAGTTTCTTAAACAACATGCGAAATAACGAGGCCAATAGTGGACCTGCCAGATCCATTCTTTTCTTCCCATAATGATCACGGTCATCCAATTCTCGGCGTCCAAGGGAAGCAAGTAACAGTCTGTGCACCATATATCCAAGAAAGAATGCTTTGCGTTTTTCACAACCAAACTCCACGGAAACGTGAGGCAACAATTCTTTCTGCAAGATCTCCTTTGCATATCTAAAAAAAATCGGCATCTTCTATTATTAAGTTTGTAACACGAGCAATCTTCATCCAGAAATCGAATGACATAAATACTTTATACGCTTATCTCTTGTTGCACCGGTGGTTGTGCCTCTACGCCCAATCCAATCTGCTGCAACCTACATATCAAATTTTTTTGCGGTTAACGATAATAATTATGGATCCTTTATGAATTCTTAAGGTCACACAACGCTTACTTCAGAACTCTGAATAGCAAAAGCATCCTCAATGCAAGGTTTTAAGGCTTCCAGCATTTGGTTATCATTCGGATCGTAGCAAACATATTGTAAAAAGTCTTGATCCGAGACTGCACCAAGAGCACGAAATGCAATCACGACCGGAACGTCCTTCTTTATGTACGGTATAGTCGCCTGGATAGATTGCCCTGTTGACTAAAGGTAATAAACATTGAAATTTAATAAACTAATGTTTCGAAAAGAATATCTATCCAGAAGTGACGCTGTGTATTACTTACCCCTTTTTCAGCCGTCCTTGCTAAAAGTTTAACGAACAAGGTGCTTGCTACTTTGGATCCTTTTTCCATTGAGCTTCTAATTTCTGCAGTGTATGAATAAGGCGAGGGAGGCGATTTTACAAACACATATACAGTATTTGTAGCCATTCTCTCTTGTGCAATCAAAACTTTCTCGGAACCATTTATTATAAAATAGCCACCCTATCAAATTGCGAAATCTCCAGTTAATAACCAACCATCTACAAATTTGAAACCAAATTTTTACTGACAAACCTGATCGTAAGGGCATTCGTTTAGAGCGTAAAGACTTTTATCATCTAGACCGTTCAATATACAAAATGTAGACTTTAACATGACCGGGATCTGAATTTTTTTTTTTTTATAGTTTAATGCGATCTTTCATTTGCTCATAAAATGATCAACGAATCTTAACAGTAGAGTCCTTATAAATATTTTTACCTTTCCAACAAACACTTTATCATAAGAACTTTCGTTTGGATCATCCTCCAATGAGTTTTCGTCAAACATTTCGTTTAAGGTAGCCTTTTCTCTGTTTTCGATAGATCTAGGATCCGTCGATAATGTTTCCTTTTTCATGTTAACATAAAGAGGTGAAGCATAACTATTTTAGCACAATAGAGGTTACAACCTAATTATTAATACAATACCATATACAAATTACACACAGATCACTTGACGTAATTTATAAAGCATACGTAAGATTTCTCAGGCGGCCTTCTTGAGGAAACATTGCAGAAACACTACCGTCAGATTCGGTCATGGTAGGTTTCGAAAGATATACTTGACCAAATCGAATATAGAATCGTTTCTGATTAAATTGAATGATTACTATATTAGTTCATCTGCAAATTAGATAACAAGTTCAAAAAACATTTGCGCGTATCAATGGCTAATATTATACACACTGGCTTGTCTCCATCACCCCCCTGACTTCCGGATACAGTTTGTAGAACAAGGTTCTTGTTTTCGTCAACGATTTCTTGCATCGTGTTTTCTACAAACTCGTCAAAAGAGTCAAGCTGCTGTCGGACAAGTCCCTTCTCGTGGAAGAAAGAAGAGATCACCGTCCAACAATCTTCTTGCGATATATCAGGTTGTAATTCGGAATCTTCTTCGTAACCCTCTAGGATTTATTTAAAACATATTAATAACCTTATTACTTTTAAAGCATAGAAGTTTTCAAAAGGCCCATAGAAAATACCTTCACCATAATCTTGATACTGCAACTGATCTTCGTCTTCTAAGACTTCCTCGACAGAGTGAATGGACGTGTCATGCAACATGCCTTGCATGGCCATAGAAGAATAGTCCTGTTGACTATCCATCTCATATGAATAACTTTCGTCCATGATGGAGAATCAAAAGAACGTTTATGGAAAACAACATTCTTTATATATTTTATTTTAATCAGGTGATCATTAATTGTTTGTTTGTTATCTACTTGATTGGTCATCAACAGGAATGGTTTGAATGTACTGTACAGTACGTGTATATCAAATAAATATAAATTTATTAATATAAATTATACTTTTTGTCGTGCATTCTATCACCTATTGTAATTCTCTGGAATGTAGTATTTCTTTTAGAAAACTTTTTCGAACGAATTTGATTTTTAGATTCAATATTAAATAAGCTGGTAAGGCAGGATTACGACGAGTAACCTACACCATCACCGGATCTTAATTACCATTACCCTGCGAAGTTAAGAGAAAACGTGTTTCGCGAGATATTGGTGAACAGGTTTTTTCCTAGTTTTACAAGAATGATCATCCAATAATTGCGAAGTAAAGAGATCTTTTAATCTCCGCATCCCATATGTTACAATTACTGCGCCAGAACACGTGTCTGTTTTCCGGTACTATTACTTAAGTACATTTTGCTCACTTCGTGAATTCAAAACAATAAAATGGCAGAATACTTAGCGTCGATTTATGGAACAGAGAAAGACAAGTAAGATTTGAGAAACAAAGTTTTGTATTATGCGTTTTGACATCGAAATCGGTTTTAACGTGATCATTTATAGGGTTAACTGTTCCTTTTATTTTAAAATCGGAGCTTGTCGTCATGGCGATCGATGCAGTCGAAAACACGTCAAACCGACATTCTCCCAAACTATCCTTTGTTCTAATATATACCAAAATCCCGCACATGATACTAACTGTAATATGTCTGAGGAGCAAATTCAGACACATTTCGACGATTTTTATGAAGATTTTTTCACAGAACTGTGCAAATATGGAGAAGTTGAAGAAATGCATGTTTGTGATAACGTAGGAGATCACTTGATCGGGAATGTTTACGCTAGGTTTAGGTATGAAGAGGATGCGCAGAAAGCGGTTGACAACTTGAATCAAAGATTTTATGCAGGTGAAGAATATTTTTTACAATAGTTTCAACCCGGTGTGATGTTAATTATTTTATTTTTGATCGTTATATAGGACGACCGATCTATGCTGAACTTTCTCCAGTTACCGATTTTCGAGAGGCGTGCTGTCGTCAAAATGAAAATGCCGAATGTACCCGAGGCGGATTTTGTAATTTTATGCACTTGAAAGAAGTATCCCGGTACTTAAAGAAGGAACTGTTTGCAGCTCAAAGGAATTATCTACGTGAACAAAGACGGGCTCACAGAGAAAGAAGTGAGGAAGAATCTCGACGCTCAAGAAGTGCATCTGAAGATAGAAATAGGGAAAGATCCGTTGGTCGGTCGAGGGACAGATCGAAGGACAGAGATCGAAGAAGTTCTCGCCGAAGTCGCCGTGAAGACCGTAGGGACAGTTACCCAGATGACTATCGATATGAATACTAGGATGAAATCCTATTAAATATCCTGTATGTTAAATCTGTGAGAGGATTCCAAAATTATCGTCGATATAGCAGGCGCAAAATTTCTTTTTTTTTTTCAAAAATTGTGCTAGTTGATCAAAGAACTTCGAAAAAATCCGGTTGTTCACGTGTTTTTATCATTGCGTGATCAGGCATTTAAAATTAACTGGGTGAAAAAGTTGAACTAACACAGGTTGGGCAAATTTTCTTACCATCATCCGTTTCATGTACATTTATGCACGATGGACGGCAAAAACTTAAGTATTTATTTTTTTGATAATGTTAATACTTTTACGAGTTATTATTACATATAAATCCTAAATTTCAAAAATGTCTTTATACAGATTATGCGTTATAAAATTTTTTTAAACTTTGCAAATACTTGAATGCTTCTAATTCTGGTCGTACTTCTTCGACGCCAGCTACGCTTAATTCCATTTGATCTGGAAAATCGCTTTTTTTCAAATGTTGTGATATTGGCCGACAGTACAGAATAATTTCCCTACCAATCGAACCGGTACAAACTTGATTTAATAAGTTATTCTTATCGTTTTTGTCCGGATAGTAAATTTTTTTCCGGGTGGCATCCTTATATATTTTTTGATATCGTTGATCGTTCAACTTCAAGAACCCTCGCAATAGATGTTCATCTTTGGCAAGGACGATTGCTTTAGACGTGCCATCCTTAATCTCGAACCTTCCCTCGGCACGGAATTTTGGCGGAAAAAGTGTGCACCCATTAGGACAGGTGTTTTCGTAATAGACCTGCTCGCATATCTCGCAGATCAGTTGTACGGTCAGATGGATAATACGAGTGATCGTACAGTGAACTCGAGAAATTGCTCGTACCGATATATCATGTAAATCTACCAACTTTGTGCTTTCAAGTTCCTGGAGCACTGTATGTCCATCCTTGGGAAATCCTGCCAAAGATATATGTGTCGTGGGTAACGAACAACAGTATACATTTCCTAACTCGGAGGTTTTTGCTATTATTTGCCTCAAGACGAGAGGTTGTCCGGGAACTATTCCTAATGGGACGATGTATCTTGTCGTTGAGATTAAGTACACATCGACAACGTCTTTCGTGTGCAGGTCTCGAACTCTCAATAACAGACTCGTATCCCTTTGACTCGAAACTCCCTTACGAAAAGGCTGTCCTATGAATTTTGGCAACGTTGCCGTTGCTCGAAATTCTTTAGATAGCAATAGTCCTCTCATCGAAATGATTGAACTGACTTGCTTGAAGTAATTTGGTGCCATTGTTAAGTTTCCGCATAATATATCGCTGACATTGAGTATCGTATCCTCTTTCAAGTAATCTTCCTCTAAAGTTACGTGGATGTTTTTTGCAGCTCCATCCAATGCTGATCCGAATTCGCGATCAAGCAAATCTTTGTAGATTGTGCTCTCAGGACCCATTTGTATGCTCCTGATTTTGGCCGCATTGATGTTTTTCATCGAAAACTCGTTTTTATCGGATTTTTCTAAGGCAGATATACATGCAAGCTCGTACGTTGAACCAATATGAATGGCGGGTAAAAATCTTAGAAAGTCGCCCGAAAGATGAAAATATGTAACTTCTTTTGAACTTTCATTCGTAATACTAAGTTCTTCCAGGTGCGACTTTAACTGAACTATCGAGGCACAAGCTTGCATGTCCCTATTCGCGTGGGAGTCAGTTTCAATTGGATAAACGTCAAGGTGCATCTTAAATCCTACTTTTGGAGGTTTTCCTTCAGATGCATAATCTACCTTTGTCGGATGGATATGCAAAACTCGAAAAAGGCACCGGCTCAAGTCGGAAGGGAAGGCCGACGGCTTGGCGAAAAAACAAAAGCACTTATCAATTGCAAATCTAATGTATGCTTTACCTGGTCTTTCAACTACAATTTCATACTCCGGGATAACCCACACACTATCGAGATGGTAGGTTTGTATTCGTTGGATCGATGAAATGTTTATGGCTAAAATTTGGCCTGTGTGATCTTTAAGCTGAAGCTCGCCATTAATGTTCCCTTCTAAGATGCCCATCAAATGAACGGAGTCCAATCTAATTTCTGACTGCGAAACGACCCTAAATGCATAACAGTTTTCAATCCCATCAAAAATGTTTGGCGGTAACTCAATTCTTTCGATGACCCTCAATAACTCCGCCAAGGATATAAATTTTATTGGGCAAACATTGCTTGGTCTACAAACATTACAAGAAAAGCGGTGGCTAAAAAAATCTTCTGGCCATCTTCGACACCGATCATATATGCGATATCTTTGGAACAACTTCGATAACAAAGAGATTTTTATTCTATCCAAGGGATTTCCCAACAAAGTTATATCATCAAATTTGTTGGGAAATTTTTCTGAAATTTCATAATATACTTTTTGAACCCATAGTAAATCTGTTAGGTTAAATAACTCGTTATCCAGAAATAACGAAAATTTGCTTACTACCCGTGGCGTAATCACGTCGCAGTAGAAGTTAATGCTTGGAAATTTGGAAATTTGTATGGTGCTACAGAAGCACGCCACAAAAATAATTTTGATTTCATCAAATCTTGGACAATTTTTTCTTAATGATAACTTCCATATGTCACGATCTAATTTCATTGGAACTGCATGTATATTGTACAGAAGTAATGTCACTCCCATTCGATATGGTAGAGATAAGTAATTGTAAGAAGGATACTGACTCAGGTGTAATATGTACCGTGAGTCCAATACGAATACTCCCAACACATTATCTATGATGCAAGTAATGGTGCCCTTGTATGTAAAAAATGGGGTGTGATCATGATCCATGTCTATCGGGTTCTCCAAAACACACTCAACTTTGTCTAGACGCGAATCGTGAGGAGCAGATAAATTTGATGATTCCAAATAATCTACCGCGTGTTTGTCTTCAATATGAAATATGGCTGAAGATGTTGGACTAAATTCATACACGAAATCCATCGATGATGTTCGTTTGTGCATTTTCAAATTTGCCAGAAGATATGTTTTTCCTACAATTATCGAAACATAATGCTCCACCGAGTCGTTTTTCGAGAATAACACGTGAACATGAGAATCTTCATCTAGATTACTGACGAGCGTTAGCAAGAAATTAACAGAATTGTCTTCTTCCTGATGAAGTATGCTCTTAATGTGAACTTTTCCAATCAAATGTGTATCCTCGTGTTGCCGAGAGATCGTGGCGGGAGACCTTGGTAGGAATCGTTCCAATAATGCTTGATCAGAACCGGTTTTTACGTTCATAAAACTTTCATCGTCCATTTCAACCTCCATCACTTCAAGATACATCGAAGAAATTCGTCCGTTTGGTAATCGATTCAGTATGAAGTTCCATTTCGTCACCGCAATTCTTTTGGAAAGCCAGCATGGTTGAAAATTGTCAAAATGACAAGCAAGTTTACCCGTGGTATCGTTAAAAATGATGGTGCTGATAGGAAATTCGGAATCTTCTGATTTCACAACCTCGAAAGTCCCGACGAGTTTCCTCTCAGGAAGCGTTTTGCTACAACCAAATGCCAAAAGTCGCGAAATGGTACAGACTGCCATTTTCTGAATGTTTTGACTCTATCTAATAAACACGTGTTCTATTATAGACATTGACGTATTATTACCCTAACAAAAAAAAAAGGCATTTTTGATGATCATTACCTTTTTAAGCCTTTGTTTTTTTTACAAAATTACTTTAAATTAAAAATACATAAATACTATACTGTATATTTAATAAAAAATCAATTAATTTTTTAAAAATATTTTTATTAGTCTTTTTTTTAAAATTTGTTTGTATAATTAAATTTGATTGAAAAATATTAAAATTTATATGAATAAATTAAATTTTTTAAATTTTTATACTTGATGTAAAATCTCACTATAATGTTGACAATATAGAGTAACGTTGATATAATCAGCAACGAGTAGCATACTGTGACTCTTATATAATATTGTGCAACAACAGACGCGAACAAACACGAATTCTATATTTCATTCACGATAGCCAGGAAAATGAGTGATAGATCTCTTAGACGAAGACGCCATAATCCATACACGTCGACAGCAAGGTATAAACCATTTTTGAGAAAGCAACCAATAAAGAGTGAATATGGTTTATTCTGTTGTCTTTGCTTCCTAGCAATGCACTTTACGTGGGATATGTGGAAGACGAGGAATCCATTGGAGCAATAATGAAAAAGTTCGAAGAATTGGAACGAATTCAAGAAGAAATTGCTGCTTCCAAGCTTACAGAATCATTACCAGAATTAAATTCTTCCGGTCAGCAAAATAAAGAAAATGAAGGGTTAACACAAGAGCAACTCGAAGAGGTATTCAGAAGAACCTCAAGTTTTACGGTTAAATCCGCCACCTTTGCGCCTAACCTTGATGAAGTGGACGATTTAGATTACTGGTTGATTGAAATGGAAGACGGCAATACCGCAGAGTATGAAGAGGAGGAGTAAGTATCGTGTTTTTTTTTTTTTTTTTTTTATAATTTCAAAAAATAACTTGTCCTAATAAATAATTGATATCATTTATGTAGCGATTACATGACTGTCGATAATGATTTTTGGGATGAAGAATTTGGAGAAAGAAAGCGAAGGAAGGTTGAAAAATCAGGAACGGAACGTCGGCGCAATATAGATCGAGAAAGTCTCCTGCAGCGATATAAAGTTATGCAGGTTAGACTACAGGACAGGAATGGAAACTTCTTCACAGTCAAGAAGAAAGTAAGGTGAATAATTAAAATTAATTGTAATTTTAATGATGCTTATTATTTATTACTCATGCGATCTCACTTCACTTTGGTAGCAATACAGATCCAAGTCTACCTACGTATATTAGGATTCCCCCTTTACCAATGCCACGTTCTTGGGCACATACAATCCTCTCTTCGCCAATAGAAACATCTACAACTATTCGTGGTTCACGGTATTATTCAAGTTCTAATGATGCAAGAGAAAATTTACAATAAATTAAATAAATTTTTATTTTCTATAGTTATTTTGAAAAAGATATCTTATCGATGGACCTTACCAAATTGGGAACTAATTTTCAAGCAGTTTATATCGATCCTCCTCTTCTTTTACCAAAAGAAACTCCATCACCGGGAAAGATTACCTTGCAACAATTTGTAAGTAGAGAGCTTAATGTTCCATCATTAGATTAAATTCGAAATTAAATTCTGATTGCATATTAAGGGAGCACTCAATGTTTCAAGTGTTGTTCCGAAGGGATTTCTTTTTATTTGGGTTGAAAAGGAATTTTTACCAGATATTGTTCAAATCGCAGAGAAATGGAATTTTCGATATGTGGAAAATTTCTGCTGGATAAAAAAGAATATCAACAATCAGATTTCTCGTGAATCATATCGATATTTTAATAAATCGAAATTATCTCTCTTGATCTTTCGAAAGGTGTGTTATAACGATTTCACATTCTTGTTTTTTTTAGTTTATTTAATACATAATATTTCTATCGTGTAGGACGGTGATATCGAGCTGCGTCATCAAAGAAATCCAGATTGTGTGTTTGATTTTATAAAACCCAGATCTAAGGGTAAGTAAGTTAAATTGAATTACAAATCTAGAAGAGAATTAATTACTTGATATTTTATTGCAGATATGCTCACAGAAGCAAAACCGAGGATAATTTATGAAATAATAGAGACGTTGCTACCACAGGCTACATTTAGTGAACAAAATAATAAAGGAGATAGGTTGCTAGAATTGTAAGAGACCTTTGTTTATTTTCTCCTCCAACATTGAATCCGCGTGGTTAAATGTTTGTTTTAAATTTTAGGTGGGCAAAAAAGGAAGTTCGTCGTCAAGGATGGACAACTGTTGTACAATCCGTCTAGAATAAGACATTAAGTTATTCTTGATTTCTTGATCTGCTGAATTTTTATCAGCCTGGTAATATAATAAAAACAAATTCGGAAAAAGCTAAGGTGCATTTAATGATTGTATTATTAAGCCATAACGCAATCCGAATTGAAAGTAACGATTGTTTTTTAAAAATATATAATGATATAAATAACTCTTATAATAAATATATAGCAAAAAGTAATAAATATATAGCAAAAAGTAAAAAATATTTAATTATAAAATTTACAATTGTTTAATTTAAATTATTTATTATTAAGTGTGCTAATATAATTAAGAAAAAATCCATATAAAAATTTTTTATAATAAAATGTTATATATTAGTAATTAAAATATTTATTTAATACTGTCATTAATGTACTAGTTATAGAATACATACATGTATCTTTTCTTCTTCAGTATAAAATAACAATTGTCATATTTAAGATGGTTCTTTCCTATTATGATTTCATTTTCTTAACATATAGTTTTCTATATCACATATTAAAAAAATTCACAGATCGCCGTTTTTATGTTTGAATCCTATGGCATCTACCAAAGAGAATGAATCCAGATTGTGGCGTAAAGTGTGTATTATTACCGGCGCAGGTTCTGAAATCGGATTAGGGTAAGTAGTCATACATACTCTAAAGATATTTCCAAGTTCTAATTTCTTCAGCGACATTTTAGTCGTGCTACTGCATGGACATTTGCAAAGAATGGTATTTTTTCATTTGTTTTATGAAAAAAAATGCTTTAATTCGACTATTTAACATTTAAACATACAACTTAGGAGCAAGAGCTGTCTACATTACGGATTTTCGTGATGAATTACTTCCGCAACTTGCGAAAGATATAAATGCCAAATATCCAAATGTGCAAGTAATACCTCGAAAAGTAGATGCGGCTTCAGAAGAATCAGTCAAGGCAATTGTCAAAGAATCGATCGATACTTTTGGGCGATTGGATGTATTTTTTGCTAATGCTGGTATTAACCTTGTCAATCAGTGATTTTTTTCGCTTGCTTAATAAAAGAAATATTTTAATTCAATTCATATTGAAATAAGGCACTGCGTTTTTTGCGAGACTTCAAGATATCGAAGTCTCAAATTTCATGAATGTAATGCGGGTATGTTGCTAAGGAAAGTTTGACTCATTTTTACCTTGAATTATATTTAAATTTATTTATTTCCCACAGGTTAACACCCTCAGGTAAATAACTGAATAGCAAAAATGCATTTTGAAGTTTCAAAGGATTTAACGTTACACAAAACAGTGTGTTTTTAGCTATAAAATATGCATCCGCAGCAATGAAAATTGCCGATGGAAGATCAGACAAGGAAAGATCTGGCGGATCTATTATTGCAACTGCATCAGGTTATTATTATTTGTCAAAACCACGATAACATTGTATATTCTTACGTATGTTATTGTTTAAACTATTAGTTGCTGGATTAAGAAATGGGGCAGGACCTATGGATTACTCCGCATCAAAAGCTGCGTGAGTTAATTTATATTTTTTTGTTTGATCTTTTTTTTTTTTTCTAAATAAGACATCTGATATTTATTGATTCAGAGTTATTAATCTAGCCCAGACAGGTGCTTGGGAGCTATATGGCACGAATATTCGCGTTAATGCAATATGCCCAGTAAGTAATTTAATCTAATTATTGTAGCTCATATTTGCTAACGCCGTCGTGCCTAACAAAGATTTTTTAAAGGGTCTTTTTGAAACGGGTATGACAAAGGCATTTTTTGATGCTGCACGTATTCGCGGAAGTCAAGATAAGATTGGACGGCTGAATCCAATGCGCAGAGCGGGAGTTACCGAAGAGGTAAACTGCGCATACAGTTTATTTTATTTTTTCATTGTCGATCAAAAATTTCCTAATCATGTACAATTTGTATACAAGGTTGCAAATTTAGTCGTCTTCCTTGCAAGTGACGAAAGCACATACGTTAATGGTCAAGCATACGCCATTTGCGGTGGGTTATCAGCTTCCCTCCCTATAACACCGGGAAAGCTTTAATATTAATTATTATTTGATAGTACATAATCAATTTGATAAAAAGAATCATTGCATATATAATTTTACAGATTAACTATATTTCCTTTTAAGAGAAACAAAATTATTGGTTTTATTTAATAAAGATATTGTTCAAAAAATGTGTAACTATATAGCTATAAAGAACTATATATTTTGGATTAATAAATTTAAAAAATACGATTATCTACATACAATAAACAATATTAATCAAAATATTTTTATTTATGTTATATTGACTGAAATATTTAATAATTAAATCAATATATTACCAATTTTTTATTTAAAACGATTTTTAATATTAAATGTTATATTTTATCATTTAAAATAATTTTATTGGACATTAAATATTATATTTTATAAAAATAGCAATTTTAACTTGAACTTTACCTTAAGTATTTGAAGACAATAAATTTTCAATTGTAACTTATTAATCTAAAAAAAATCATTACAACTTCTTTAATCTAATAATATCGATATTTATTATTTATTTATTTATTTATTTATTTATTTTTTAAAGTGCACCAGCAATAATTGTCTGACTGAGTATTTATTCAATAACAATGTTTACATATATCTTTTGACATTACTATCTAGGATTATGCTATAACATATTGGTTGTCAACTATACCCAACACTTATCGGAATTGCTTCAAATAATAACATTTGCTATAGCTTGTTCCTAACTATATTAGGTATAGAGGCTAATCTACTGAACAAAGATGATCCTTTGTTGAACCAATAGCATACATTTTCATTAGTAATTGGACAGCTTTATTTCTAACTGGGGAGAAATTAAGGGAAAGTTGAAAGGGGCACTAGGGGTAATATCTATAACAAATAAAGTTACATGATCACTGCTTGCTCTATCAGGGATAAATCCCTTTATCATCACCTGCAGCTGGGTTAACCATTTAATTTCTTACCTGTCCAATGATATCTAAGAACATTCAAGATACTTATAACTAGTGCTTATCGCCTAAACACCAACTTACACATTGCAAGAAACAGGATTTATAGCCAGAAGCCTTCTCAGGATAAGTACTGCCAGACCGGTTTATTACTGGATTGGGATAAGACTAGGGTAGAGATCTGTATGAAAGACATTGGATATTAAGGAAGAATTATCAAACCTACTCATCGAAAGTGGACTCCTTATATACCTTGCAACTTCTGGCAATCATCATAATACCAACCAGACAATCGTTACGTCATGACACCTTTTCTGGAAATTACAATCCCAATGTCCTATTAGATCAGTGTATGAATAACTTCTTATGAAAAACAGAACTTGATAAGTTATGGCCTCGAATATCATTTTTAATTCAGTTCAACCACCTTCATCTGAGGTTGAACTGGTATCTTGTGATCTGACCTGTAAAGTGTTAACCACTATACTATAGACCCACAAATCTGATATTTATTATTTATTGAAATGCAAAAATGAAATTATTAAATAAATATAATAAATATATTTTTTTTAAGACTATAGAAAATTTTCTATTTAAAGAGAATATATATTTATAAAAAACAATTTTTATTAAAAAATTTTATATACTTGAAATCAAGCTTAATCATATATTTATATAAAAAAACATAATAAGTATATTATTAAATTTAAAACTTGTAAATCCATAACAAAATGGTTAATACTTCACAGATCAGATCACAAGATACTGATTCAACTTCATGTGAGAACAATTAAATAGAATTAATATAGTATCTGGTACTATAATCTGTTAAAAGTATTGTTTTTTATAAGAAGCTATGTTATATATTAATCTAGCAGATATTGAGATTATGATTTTTAGAAAAGATATAATGTAATAATCATCCAATTAGTATTATAATAATTATTGGAAATTGTAAGATATATGAAATGTTCACTTTTAATTTTTTTTTTTTTTAATTCTGCAATTAGGTTGGTATCATTTATTTATTAAATCATAAAGAACCATTACATGCATGAGAATATATGCAAAGTACAAATTTTCCTGATCCAACTCACCTGTCTTTAGCCGAAGCCTCTAGATGTGATTTATGGGGGTGATATATTGTTTCCCTAAAGGATGGGATTAAGATTCTGAATTTCCGATAGAATCAGCACCTGCAGATCACCTCTACAATTATGACCATAAATTCAAATTGTGTCACCCCCTTTTATAGAAACTACGCAAGGAAAAAAAGGAATAAAAAAGGAATTTTTTAACAAAGAGAAAAGAAAAAAAAACTATCATCTATTCTAACTATCATTAAAAAGGTTATCTCAGTAAACTTAAAACCCAAGCCCCTCATGAATTTTCACTTCTTACCATCTGTGGCCAGTTAAACTGTTTAATTTCCAATAAAGTAATCAATATTTAAGAACGTTTAAGGGTACTTCCAGATAAAGATGAGTCCCTAAATTAAAGATGAGGACATAATTCAAATGTCCCTCACTATTAAAAAAGTTTTTTTTTAAATATAAGATCAA